GCGGCGCTGCCTCGAAACGCACGTGCRCGCCGCCAGCCGGGTTTGTGCTGCACATCAACGCGATTGTCGCTACGCGTCGTTGTGCTGCGTGTGTTTAATGTGTGGCTCCACGGGAGCAGCGGCCGCACCGGTGCCCGTAGCCCCCGTGGGGAGAGGAGGAGCCCCCGGCCCGCACAGGTGGCCCCATGAGTTAGAGGGAGGTGCTGGGGCTGGGGGCTGCAGGTGCCACTGGGAGCAGTGGGAGCAGGAGCAGGGCTGCAGTGTCTCCCCTGCCTGTGCAGCAGGTAAGTCCTGTCTCTGCCTTGCACGCGTTTTCTCTCTGTTAGCTTTCTCTGTACCGGAGCAGGAAACTTGGCAATTAGCTCTTTCCAGAGTGTTTTACAGTCCTGTGGAAACCCCTTTTATCCGCTTTGTTTTAAATGGTAATATCCCCTACTCGTAGTTTTCAGGAATATAAAACTTTACAGCGCTTGCTGCCAGCCTTGGTGCTCGGCTCTGCCGTTTATTGCTCCCCCTGYGGATCCGTGCTGCCCGTAAAGGCGGCTTTCATCTGCGCGGCGGTGCGGGCGGCCAGGGCTGCGGCGAGAGGCGGCCCCGCAGGGCGCCGCGTTGGGCGCGCGAGGGGTCCCGGGGACGCGCCGCCCGCCCCGGGGGCTGCCGCGGCCCTGCGCAGTGTGGGTGCTGCACACCTGCTGCCCCAGCGCTGCCGCCCCTGCGCTATACGGCTTCATAAAACACCGCGCGCTGATGGCGCTAATTGCTGCCCGCCCGTCCGCCACGGCCTGTAAAGGGCTTGCGGGGGCGGCCCGACGCACGATCCCTGCGTGCGCCCGGGGTGGCTCCGTGTCCTCACAGGGGGTCCCGTCCTCCGCGAGCCGCCCCGGCGGGSATGGCGGGTGCGCCCGCCTTGTCCCGGCAGCCGCTTCCCTCCCGGCCCCGCGCCCCGGCGCCGCTCGCCCCGCGTGTCTCCCGCGGCAATTTATAGCCTCGTTGGATGCCTGAGTAGCCGTGTCTCTCCAGTAATATGTATTCTCCGTAAGTATTCCCCGCTGTGGCATATCCTAAGAGAACTCCATCAAATAATTATCTTCCCTTTTATTTATTCGCAGTCTTTTCACTCGATCTGCATCACCATAAAATATTCCAATGGCTCCCTCTTAGCGCGCAGCCTTCCCGCGACTGTAAAGTRTATTTATGTACAGTATTAAATCCGCGCTCGGCGGCTCTCTGTCTTGGCGCTTCCCGTGCGCCGTGCCGGGCCCCGGCCGCCTTCCCCGGGGCTGGCGTGCGCGGGGCGAGCTCGGCACGTGCCCTTGTGCGGGCAGAGCGGCGCCGAGCCCGGCCGGCCGCTCCAGCGCCCGCGTCCGCYGGGGCAGCCCTGGCGCTCGGCGGCGGCCTCGCGGAGCCCGGGGATCCCCAGCAAGGGTTAACCGAGTGTGTAAAATTGATTGCGATTTTAGTAATTCAGTATAATCACAGTCTAGCAGCAGGTTGCTTTTCCAGCAGGAGGGTTTGGAATTATTTTCTGGAGTTTGCAATATAGAACTTAAATTAAGCCTCAGAAGTCAGAGGAGCTCTGCTGCATCGCTAATGTGGTGCTAAATTCTCAGCAGCACATTCCCCGTATTAAAGCCTTTGCTGGCAATTAGGTTCATTAACTATCACAATACCTTATTTATTACTCGGCATGCCATATGGTTTCCCAGCTAAAGAATGGCACCCGCTCTAGCACAGACCATTTGGCATCATAAAAATGTTAACAAATAATGTTATGGCTCTCAAGGGCAAAAGGGCTCGCCGGGTTGCAGGCCTGAGCGGCGGGAGAGAATATGAAAACATTTTCCTTCTACGGCAAAATAGAGAATTCCTCGCGATGCACGCGTTCGAGGCCCGCCACGCTCGCATCACGCACAGGGGAGTTTATCCGTGCCCGTCGGGGTGCTGGGGGTGCGCGCGGCCGTGGGCCGGGCAGGCGGGCGGGCACCGCGGTGGTGGGGAGCCCGTGCCGCAGCCGCTGCCCGGCGCCCTCCTCGTGGGGCCTCCGACCTCGKCGGGTTTCACGGGCGCTGCCACCTCCTGCTCCGTGCATTGCCAGGGCCCGGGAAGCAGATTGCGTTTATCAGAGCCCGGTATAAATATCCCCAGGCTTCTAAATCTCCCTTTATCTGGCAAGGGCTTTGCGCAAAGCCCTGCGCGACTCGGGCCGGGGGGAGAGGAGGTGCTGGCGCTGGTGGCGGGGCGGCCGGGCGCTTCTTCACACCTTGCCRGGGCCGGGGCGCTCTGCGAGCGTGGACACGGCACCCGTGCACACACTGGAACGTGTGGGGCCGGGTCCATGGGCGCCAGGTGAGGAGCACCGCGTCCTTGCGGCCTTCRCCAGGGTGCAGGGCTGTTGTGCGCGGGCAGGGCGGCTAGCGAGCCGTCCGGACACACAAATGTTATCTGGGGTTTCAGTCGCTTAGGAATTTCAGAGGAGATAAGATAGCTGCGCTTTATTGCACCCCCTGGCAATTATTAAGAAAATAAAATCTGTTAATATCTAACTTTGAATCTGCGCCACAGCCTGTGGTCCTCTCGTCCGTGGGGCTCATTGTGGCTCCCTTGCAAGGCTGCGCGTTGCGGAGCAGTGGCCGGGGGGCCTGCGAGGCGCCTCCCGTGGGACGGGATGCGAGCGCTCCACAGCGCTGCCAGGCGTGCGGGATGGATGTCACGGAGCTGCTCGGCTGGGTGCTGGCCGTGGGTGCACAGGGTGCGACGCTGTGGGTAGCAGCAGTGCTGCAGGGGGCAGCAGTGCTGTGCACGGCCTGCGAGGCGCACGTTGCAGCCGTTAACACGGGGTGCTCCCGGAGCTGCCGCCGCGGCCCTGGCTCAGCAGGAAGGGTTAATAGCAGCCCGCGAGGAGCACAGCGGGCCCGCGTGGCACCCGCGTGGGGCTGGGAGCCCCTCTGCCGCGGAGCGTCTGCTCGCAGGGGGGCAGCAGGCGCCCGGCTGCAGCCTCGCGCGCTGCCTGCTGCGCAGCGGCCGTGCCGAGCGGCTCTCGGAGCGCGCACGCGGCGGCGCTTCCAACGCGGTGCTGCACGCGCGGCACACAGGGAGAGCCCTGCCGGGAGGCGTGCGGCCGCTCGGGCTGCGGGACGGCCACGCCGCGCGGCTGCCCTCCGGCCACGGGGCCCCTGCGGCGTCCTTCCCCTCGCGGGCGCTCTGCCGGGAAGGGCCCCGGCAGGCTCCCTGTGTGCCCAGCAAAGTTGGGAAAGTTGTGGGAGGACAAGGAAGCGGGGCCAGCGCGCGGCGCCCGCTGAGGTGACAGCGCAGGGCAGGGCAGGGCAGGGCGGCCGCTGGGGACGGGGCGGGGG